AAGATTTATATATTTATTTCAGAGAGAGCGAGAGCACAAGCATGAGTAGAGGGGGCAGCAGGCAGAGGCAGAGGGAGAAGCAGGCTCCCCGCTGAACAGAGAGCCCAACGCGGGGCTCGATCCCAGGACCCCAGGATCATGACCTGAGCCGAAGGCAGTTGCTTAACCAACTGAGCCACCCAGGCGCCCGACCCTCAGTTTCTACCTCAGACTGACCCCCAGCACAGAAGCAGCAATTAACCAGAGAAGCCACACAAACCTCCCCTGGGGAAGGGGGAGATTTGGATCTCCAGAGTTAATACATTATTAAATTCGAATGTCCAATTTTCAACAATAGCAAAAATCACAAGGCATACAAAGAAACAGGAAAAGTACAGCTTATTCAAAGGAAAAAAAGAAAAAAAAAATCAACAGAAACCAGAAAGGCCTGACGGTGGGCTTACTGGACAAAAACTGTAAGACAACAGTCTTAAAGATGCTCACAGAAAGACAGACGTGCAAGAGAACGCGGCATGAACAAAACAAATTCCAAGTGGGATGACCTCAAAGAGATCCACAGTGAGACCCATTATAATCCGACTGCTGAAAGACAAAGAAGAGAATCTCCTTGAGAGAAAGCAGAGATAAAGGGAAAGTTTATAGCTATAAATATTTTATATTAAAAAAAGAACATCTCAACGTGACAACCCTTCAACCCAAGGAGCTAGAAAAAGAACAAAAGGAAATCCAAAGCTAGCAGAAAAAAGGAAATAATAAAGAGCAGAGATTTTAAAAATTGAGACTAGAAAAACACAAAAGATAATCAATAAAACCTCAAGTTGGTTCTTCAAAGAGATTAACAAACTTGACAGCCCTTTAGCTAGACTAAGAAAAAAAAGAGAAGACTCAAATTACTAAGCTCAGAAGTAAGAGTGGGGACATTACTACCGACTCTACAGACATAGAAAGCATTATGAGAGTACCGTGAACAGCTGTACAATCAACAAACTAGATGACCTAGAAAAAATACACAGATTCCTAGAAACACAAAAATCTACCAAGACCAAATCACAAAGAAACAGAAAAGCTGAACAGATTCATTGTTAGTAAGGAGACTGAATCAGAAATTAAAGCCCTCCCCAGCTTCACTAAGTTTCCACCAAACATTTATTTTATTTATTATTT